CGGCCGAAGCAGAGATCAACTTAGGGTTGATACATGTATCCGCGACACAGGTGAGAGCATGTTCGTGGCCATTGGGCCGTTGGATTACTTCAGAAGGATATTTATGTGAACAGCAGGAGAGGCGGGCGAGTGAATGCTAAGCGAGACGCACTCATCTCGCTCTCCTTAAAAGCACTGCAAAGTGGCACTGGGGCGAGCGCGACGGCGGCCGCAGGTTGTACAGAAGACGAAGAAAGCGGCAGAAAAAGAAAGAGACAGAGGAAAGAAGGAAGAGAGCCGGATGGAATCCTTGCCTTTCTCTCTGACGACGTCGGCCTTCCTTTATTGTTTTCTCTCTGCGACTGTGAAGCGCCCAACCGCGCCGAACAGAGGGCCGAAGCCGCAGTAAATATACAGCTCGACCAGCGAGGAGAAATCGAGTGGTGGTGGCAGCCTTTTAGCCGAAATGTACTTGGAGATCCAACTGGTGCATATTGTCTCACCGTGTTCTCGTCACAGCAACGGCCGATGGGGAGTCAGAGGGCGATAGATAGCAAAGCAGCTCCCGCTGCCGGATTAAAATCCTTTGCGAGAACCGAGACGGGATGCAACGAGGACAGCAGACGAGTGTATAAGACGATGTTGTGAGGAAGGAGGAACACACGGTATTTGATAGCAGCAGACACTGCAGCAGTTCTTAGGTGGATGGGGCCATAACTTTTCCGCGACCTGATGCCTTTGACGCTTTGCTTTTCTTAAGGCGTTAAGAAAAACTCATCATAAACCTCAACAATTTGCGAGTATTCCGAGTATTTGCATATCCATGAAGCTATCATATATTATACTGTCAGCAGTTAGACTGCAGCATCATCTCATCTAATTATTCCTCAGGAAAAGTACATGGTAGTTCAAGATCTCACGGAAACAACATAAAAGCTTGTGTTAGGGTTTGCTTTTCTTCGGTGCAGCACCTTTATGGTCAAACATGCACTGTTAAGCACTCTATTATTTTGGGTTATGGACCACAGGGAGCAACAAAATAAGAAGAAACAAGTGGCTATTGTTGTCATGAGAAAGGGCCTTCAAACTTGGTGACATCATTAATCTCTTTCCTTTTCCTTCAAGAGGAAGGAAGAAAAATCTCTCGAGGTTTCAAGTGAATATGATTTGTACGTAGAATTTTCCATGCATACATACATACATACACCCTGACTCTTATCCAGAATCTTTGAGGTATTGTACCGGTGAAGTGTAACAATTCGTTTTAGTACACATCCAGATAGAGAGAGACAACAGGCAAAGCTCCAACTTAGTGGACCGAAAGTGACTAACTATGGATTTTGGACGCAATGCCATGTGATCAACGATGTCTGTGTCTGCTGCGCAAACATCCCAATCCTGATCACCAAGTCATCATTCAACAATGATAATTATCTTCCCAATTATATTTGACCTACCTACGTTTATAAATTGAGTTCGTCTATATGACTGTCGATGGGGTCTTTGTCGTTTGAGAGACTCTGATCAGATCTCTTTATCTTACTCGTTCAATGCTCAAGTCAAAGGATATCTATCACACTGAAACTTGAGCTTCATGAGTTTGGGCTAAATCCTTCGTACGACTGGCCAGACAAAGAGGAGAGAGCTCCCTCTCCAGGGGAAGTGAGCTTCTATAGGAATGTCATACAGGGTCAGAAGATGTCCCCCTCATAGCATGTACCGGTCAATACCGGGGCTGCTATAATGGCGGAGCGAGCGAAATTATAGCGGACCAGTGGCATGGTTCCATGGTTGAAGGCGAAGTTGGTATAGTTCATCGTCACCTCAGTAATAAAGTCACATGGGCCAGAAGGGGTATATGCATGTTCCCATCGAGATATCATGGGGCGTCTCGAGCTCTCCGAAGGAACCATGGTGCTAAAACGATGATGTCGATGTCCGTCATTCTTCCCTCATCGTGATTTAAGCAATCAAGATATAAATAACAAGGAAAAATGATGTGCTTCCAGAAGAGTGGTTGTCGGCATTGACATGTTAATGTTAAGGAGTCTTCACAGAATCACATAATCTAAAGGAGAAAGCTTCGAGGGGGTAAGCATTATGGAGGCGATCGGATCCCTTTTGTTGGCGTTGAGAGGCATTCCTATGTGGAAAGCCTGCTTCATAATTAATGGAATCTTCTCCACGGCATGCGAAGGTGGGAGGAGGCCCGCCTTCACAGTGAAAGGCGAGAAGAAAGAAGACGGGGAATGTCTTTTGGGACAGGAAGAAAGATTGAAAGGGGACAATTGCGTCTCCTTCCCTCGTTTCATCGCTTGGATCAATATCTTCTGACACATTAGTATTCGTGTGCATACATACCTCCCTAAATTTTACATCTACTCGATCGATTTGATTGACTCATTGCCAGGAACATCTATCACTTGTTATTAGCTCTGCTTCACTGCCGACGCTGATGTGCCACCAACCAAGAAGTCAGACCCCACAGATGCTGATCTCTCATCGACTACACTTTGGCTGGAGTTCTTATGTTCCAACTTGCAACTCGATGCTCATCACCTACATTGTGTCGTCCCCTGGAAGGAAAAGGAATTCTTAGAGTAAATATGATTGCAACAAGGGAATGATAAATCTGATCCTCGAGTTGACGGCCATCTATCTCCTTGGGTGCCATGGAAGTCAAACCGCTGTATGATTGTGCTTGGAGAAAATAGTTACAAGGAGAAGCATGCAGAGGCCACTGGGAGGGCACCTTGCAGCCATCCCTATCCCGTCTCATCTGCTCCACCTTCACTGCTTGTCTCCCTCTTGTCTGCCTCAGAGACTAAGATAAGGAGGTCAGGTCACACATGGGTATGGTGTCCTGTCCCATTACCAAAATGCAGAGCTCGGAGGGAGATCATCTTCTTCCTGGTCATCTTAATGGGCGACAACCATACATGTCCACCACCCATCTTGTTCTGCGTGCCATGCTCGTATTGCTGCACACTGCTCTCTCCTTTCGATGACTCCCACATTTGAGAGCTTGTGGGCCGCAGAAATCCCAGTCATTCTATTGGTTTCCTTGGACATCTGTCATACCTATGTCATTCACTTTCTTCCTCCCATGGTAAAAAGCACGCAGGCAAGTGGCAAGAGCAAGATGTTTTGACATTTATTAGGAGAGACAGGCTGCATGTCAAGTTTTAGCCCCCACACGAGAGAGAGAGAGAGAGAGAGAGAGAGAGGATACTTGTCTTATCAATTTCAAGTAGAGAGATTTTGAGTGCACTGTGGACCCATGCACCTGCATGCGCAGTAGGGCATGGTGAATCATAGAGATGAAGATTTTTGATTGAATTGGAATTTAAGCACCAAGCCAATCTTCTTAGATCTTCCTCAGAGCAATTTGTGCTCATCTTCTTGTCTCACATCTTCTTCTCAGTTCATCCATTGATGTCTCTGCCTTCGGTTTTCCCCGACCATAGCGAGAAATAACACTCCATGAGGGCCGACAGAGATCCAACAGCGCCTCCGACAGAATCTTCCCCAACAAAACGCTTCGTGGTGGAAAGAAAGCATTAGAATACTGACATGAGATTTCTGGTCAAAGGAGTCGTCAAATATTATTATGAATGCAAGTCCTGCTTTGACTGTTTGACTAATTGATCTAATCATCACCATAATTATCTGTTTGGATGGGGATATGTATGACAATGTTTGTCTCAGCTATCGGCTTAAGCGAGCTGTATTGAAACAGAGAAGCGCTGTGTGCAGAGTATGCATGTCCCCCTGACAGCGAGCAAACAATCTTAGAGCTCATCAACCAAGTCATTCATGTCCCCTTCTCACCATCTCATCAACCAAGTGATGATGAGTCTGTTCTCGAGCCCAAGTCACAGGTTACTATGTGCATAAGAGACAGAGAGAGAGAGAGAGAGAGAGAGGGCATCAAAGTATGAACAGAACAAAGGAAAATTTCCAGGGGATTAACTCCAGCACTTGCTCAACACTGGGTGGAGGGGAAGAATCCAAGTGAGACACTACGCGCTGCCTTCCTCTTCGTGTAGTCGACATCAGACTGGTGCTTTCCAGGGATGCACACGTGAAGCAGCTCCTCCTCTGCTTTGTGCTTGGGCGTTCCTTCTGGGTGGGGTTTAGGACAGGATGATGTGGAGATGGACTGTGATCATGGCAGGCAGTTGGAGAGCCTCATTCAAAAGGAGATGGATTACGCAGTGAAAGATACCTCCTTCCGACAGAGTGTGGGATCGAAGGACGGTGGCAGATGCCAACAGGAACTGCTCGACTACTTGTTTGAGCTGGGAGGAAGATGCGGTGCGCTCCCAAAGTCCCACTCTGCGAAGGGGACGATCTCAAAGCCAAGCATTTGCTCGACGGAGACGTCCACCATGCGCGGCATTCCTCTTATCTAATGATTTGCTTTTGGCTGGATTCCATTGCTGGCTCAGTTGCTGCCATCCCGCAGTGGGACACCCACGAGATGCAAACCTGAAAGATACATATAATCCCAGTTTGAGGATGAGGGAGAAATAGAATGCTCGAGACTAAGCGCTTAGCAGAGATCGGTACCCGAAATTATCTGGAATAATCGGTTGGGCTGGGCTGCTTGAGTTTGATCCAACCCAATACTTGCGAATATGATTCGATCGAATCAGAACCGTATCAACCCTCATGCAATCCAAGTCCAGTCCATTGAGGTACGACATCACTTCCTCTTAGCCAAACATGATCTCACTTTATGATGCGTGTTGAGTGTGTCATGTGTTACCTTAGGAAGCCACATTCTACGCCGTGGTCGTCCCATCTCACGCTTGCACGGTTGCCTAACTCTATATGTACGCTCACCGCCAGTGACGGACCGAAAAGGAGAGCGAGCGAAGAGGAGGAGACGAGTACAGTGAGATTGTGCTCATCACGACGGTCGACGGCGGTGACTCGCTTCAGTGAGGTTGTGCATCAACATCAACGCTGTCGAGACCGCCGGCACGTGCTTAGGTACATCTCCTCTGTTATCTTCTTCTTCTTCGAGTTGCCTCGAGCTTCTCGCCATCGCTCCAATTGTTCTTCTCTTGATCTAAGCGCCTGCGATCTTCCTTCTCCTATGAAGGGAGATCTAAGGAAGTCGGAGAGCACGTTGCATGCCGAGAACAAGCTTCCCCTTCTCTTTCATGATGTTGATATATGCAGTTGCTTCATAGTCGCTTGTGATCATCCATAAATTTGCTACTTATTGTGCTACGCATATACATAGTGAGAGAAGATTCGTAAGATAGGAGCCATTGGGCCAATTGAATCCACGAACTGTCGTTCACTGTGTAAATTGGTTGAACTGTACCATGTAATATACTTACTGGATTACACACATTCACAGCTCTAAGAAGCACTCAAGTTCAGTCACCATGACCGATCGAACTCGTGATCTTAAATCGTGCAGAAATGTGAGCTTGGCAGTGACTTCAGAAAAGATGGGGAAAACAAAGACGCGTTAGGGAAAGCTAACTACAGTAGTTGACGCCTCACCTCACATTTCACGCTTAAGCTCACACAAATCACGAAGCCCTCAAGTAGAGACAAAAGTTGTGCGAATAAAGGCAGCAAGCAAGAAAGAAGTGCACTAACTCTAACTATCTTTGTCTTCTTTTGGGGACTTATCTGTCAATGTATTGAAGCTTAACGTAAGTCTGTACTATTGACGCGCATTACAATGCATGCATGCATGGAAGCACGACCCATGCACGTAATTCCGGTTGTTGCAATATGGAAGAGAAGAGCAAAAGACTCGACGATCACAAGTAATTTGGATCAGAACTCAGTAACATGCTGTTGCTGCTGCTGCTGCGCTGCGAGGAAGAGAACTGCAAGGACATCATCTCCACCAGATCCAAGTCTCTCTTGCTACTCGAAGAAGCTTGATCTTTCAGGATCTGGGATTTACTGTCCATCTCGAGTAGGCCTGTTGATGAAGAAAGAGCTCCATCGAATAGACAGGGTGGATAGAGTTCAGACCATGTATTAGGTCGATGACAAGCCGGGTCAATGGCGATAGTTTCAGGTGCAGAATAAGGCAATTGCATGCATTGGCACACATCACCGATAGGCAGGAAGTCGTCGTCGTCGAAGTGCAGGAAATCGAGCGAATAATGATTGCAAGAATTGTGGGCTTCCCCTCCATGAATCCCTCCTTCCTCTATGCTTCCGTTAGGCACCGATGACTGCTCCAACACTTCGTGTATGTACGGAAAGCTCTCCTCCACACTGCTCGTGGGATCCTGACCCGATGAGGGGTTGTGCGGTTGCCAGTATGGGGTGTCTAATTGTTTTGACACAGTTGTTGTATTGGTGGTGCTGCATGTTTTGCTGAGGTCTCGAGTCTTACTCAGGATGTAGTTTTGCAGAACGGAGGGAGGACATCTTCCCCCTTTGGTTGCCTTCCTCTTGCTCCTCCTCTTAGCGTTCAGCTTTCTTTTGGTGGCGTTCCAGTGGTTCTTAATGGAGTTCTCGGATCTGCCAGGGATTTGCTTTGCGATCTCAGCCCATCTGTTCCCAAAGCTCATGTGAGCTTCCACTAGTTGCTTCTCCTCTTCCTCGGTCCACATATCCTTCTGCCAACAGAAGAGAGAGTAACCTATCAAGCATGACGTGGAGAAAGGCAGATGAATTAAGGACCCAACCTTGATGTCAGGGCGTAGATGGTTGTGCCATCTTTCTCTGCACTGCTTCCCGATCCTACCAACCAAATTCTTGGCAATCTGAGACCACTTCCTAACGCCATGTTGCTTAACCAGACGAACCAACATGCTGCACCACAGAAAAATCGACAGAGCTTGGAAGTCTATCACAGATATGAGCAAAAGGAACCAACACGAATCTCATTACCTATCTTCCTCAGCTGTCCACTGCCCTTTCACGACATTGGCTGCAGCAGAATTACCATTAGAAAACGATGAGTTGTTTGAAGCCCCCTTTTGTTGTTGTTGTTGTTGTTGCTGCTGTTGTTGTTGCTGTTGTTGTTCCCATTCCTCTCTCTTCACCACCTTCTCACAGCTACCACCTACAAGATTGCCATTAGCAGAAAAGCCGACTGCCCCAAGCAGGACATCAGTCAACCCCTGTGGATCTCCATGATCGGGCTCCTCTCGGCAGCAACTCGAAAGAAACCTTTCCAATGGTGTCAAAAGAGGAGGTGGCGGAAGAGGACCACAGAGTCTCTTCCCTGCAAACCCATCGCAGCACCCAGCTGCCGCTCCCCCTTCTGCTTCCATAACGAAGAAGAAGACCGACAGGGAGAAACGAGGGCCGATGAGAGAGGAGGACGAGCGTTTAGGTAAGAACGGAGCACAGGGAAGGCTTCATCAGTGCGGGAATGGGAATGGGAGGAGGAAGACAAGGGACTGCAGTTACGCAGGCTAATTGGCGTCCGCCATGATTGCTATAATTACTAATTAGCAGTACTGCGCGTTCAATGAGCCCAACGTGGGCGCGGTGGATCCACGGCCAATCGGACGGCTGCGGAAGCGTTAAGACTGCTAACGCTTCAGCTCCTCTTCGACTTCACGGGAAGCCAAAACAGGAGCTAACTATGGCGTACGTACGGTGATTGCTCGTTCTTCTTAATGTACATTAAATTCCACTATTAAAACATACCATATCTAATGCACATTATAGAAGTTACTATATTAACTCTTTAACATCACTAATTTGTATATATTATTATTTGTGTTTTGGATTTGGGTAAAGATTAGGTAATGGATGTTGTGTCCAATTCCATGTCTATCTTAGAATAGATGGAGATATATTAGACTAAATGTGGAGCCGATACGGTAATTTGAACTGACTTGCGATCCCGATTCGATCGTATTGATCCAATATATTTCAGAATGATTTCCATGGAGTGCGATATACATGACCAATTTACTCATTTGGAAAATCAAAATAAAGATTGTTATACATCATCATCAATATTATGATATATACTATTAGATTATGTGATCATGTCCTATCTAGGGACGAAAATCCTAACAATCATTAAGAGATTATAATTTTTTTCTTATTTCTCTTATCCTTAATCGTCGCTCATAGTGGTCTCATGAAGAATAGTAAGAGAGGAGAAGACAGAGTCTAGTTTTCCTTATAGATCGATATTGACAATGGACAATGCACCTGCAAATAAAGTAAAAATTTTTTAAATAACATCGAAAACATACTTATCATAAATTTGATCTATCGTTATCTGATTTCAATTTCTAGCATTAAAATTTTCTACATAATAATAACATAATCACAATTTTTATGCTTACAATTGGTATCATAGCTATGTTTTGAAATCAAATACTTTTGATCATAAAAGTATTTCAGATCTATTTTATATTTAGAACTACTTATTATTACTTGAGAAAATATTTTTTTTTATTTTGATTTATAATGCTTGAACAATCTATTTATGTTATCGATATCTTTTCTTATCTCATCCATCTTATCGCTTGCTTGTGAGCGATGTGAGGTTCGCGTGTTTAATTGATAGATAATTATCGGCAACTTGCTATCGATGACAATATTATTGAGAGCGATAACCTTTGGTGATTGCTAATCCAATTGCAAGCTATGACTGTGTACACATCAAAAGCGCTGTAGATTACGACAATTGACAACGATCATATGTACGATTGTCTATGTATAGCAGCCTTGTGGTAGTCAGCTTACCTTGATCGTAGGTGGTTGCAACAGAGTCATTGTGGTAGCTTTTGCTGGCTACGATCGACGTTGAAGGTCATGATACCTAGGGACTACGTAGAGAACATGTGGGGAAAGTCATGCTCCACGACAATCATGGGGGGTCATTGATCGTTGCATGTGCACGATTGTGCAGTGGGACAATTTGTTGGCAGCGCTTGGTTAGTGTCGCACCACGGAAGTGTTCCTCTAGTGAGGAATACAACGACTAATGAGGTCATCGGTTAGTCGTGTGAGAAGAAGCGTGCCATCCCGGGTGATAGTTGCATCGATGACCCACACATGTGGGTGCGAAAGCAACAACGATTATGAGGGTAGCTACGAGGGATTAAGGTTTTATTTATTAAAATTATAGTTTTACCTTTATAAGTTTTTTTAATTTCAACTTATATTCTTTTGATGGTTTTACACTTCAGAAAATATATATTTCTTGTATATCCCAGGTAAAATTATAGTTTTACTTTTCAGAAATTAAATTTTTTTTACTTATGTTCTTAATTATAATATTGACTAATGTAATTTATTTTAATCAAATATTTTGATATAACCTAATCATGATTGTATTTTGATTACTTTGTTAGATATATATCAATCAAGTCATGATCTAATTTGAAAAAAAGTTAAGCTCAATTCTATGAGTCCAATTTAGGTAACCTAATCTGTGCCTGCTCAATTGAATAGGGTTGATTGGTCTAATTTAGAATTGCATATAATTTTTTTAAAATATAAAATATAATTTTCATTTGTAGTTTTTTCATATGATATATTGATAAAATTTTACATATGATAATTAAAATTTTAATTATTATTCTTGAATATTTGTTTGATTATTCATATGCATATATTTAAAATTATAAAATAATTTTTCATATAAATGTATGATTTATGATTTATTATGATTATAGTTATACTAGGAGTTTTTCTTCATACTGATTAATGTTTTATAATTATTATGATTATTATTTTTATTAAATAATTTTGATATAAATTAGATTTAAAAAAATAAATATTATTTGTAACTCATATTACTAGTAGCGGCCAAACTATCCCAAGATAGAAGACTTATAAAATATGAATTATAATAAACTTTTTATTATTTATAAAATATTTTAAATTATTATATTAATCTTGTAGCTACTATTATCCTAGATCAATAACTTGTAAAATTATATTAAGAAATTAATTTTAAATAATATTAAAAAAAAATTAATATTCATAATAACATATGTAATTAATAGATTTAGATAATACTAAAGAAAAATATACTTCAAATAATTATGTAATAAGGTAGGATGATACTATTTTTGATATCTTTCCAATTTAAGTTTGTATATCTAAGGATAACAATATTATTCCATAGGAATGATATTAGTTCTCTATAAATAATTCAGAACACTAAATATGTTAATATCCACCCAAAAATTGTTAGGATCAAGAGTACTAAGAGGAGGGGGGGGGGTCAATTAGTGCAGCGGAAAACCTTCTACGATTAAAATAAAAACTGCGTTCGTTCGTTAAAAGTGATTTTGGTAAGAAAGTCGATTCGTAAATCACTGTAACTTTTGTTTAAATGAGATGCAACAAAGATATAAATGCAGTTTGCAGTTATGATTCTAATCAGATAGTAGGCGCAAACTGAAATATGATATTCGTACGAAAAAACTGAGTTACGTCTAAATGCTGATTCATAAATCACTTGATTAAGCGAGATGCAGTTTAAGCAAGAATATAAAGGCAGTTTGCAGTTATGATAGAAATCAAAACGTAAATGCAAACTGAAATATGATGATCGTACGATAAAATTGATTTACGTCTAAACGCCGATTCGAAAAGTGCAAAGCTTGAAACCCGATCGTATATGCGCAGAAAGCAGTAAGCTTTTGAGGAGGTTTGCAGTAAAGATAATATGCTCAAAGTAAATGCAAACCGAGATTTAGAGTGGTTCGGTCAATCTTGACCTACTCCACTTTTGGCTTCCTCCACCGACGAGGTCACCGACGTCAACTAGAGGCCTTCCTTCAATAGGCGAAGGCCAACAACCCTTTTACAGTTTTACTCCTTTTGACGGGCTTAGGAGACAACCCTTACAGAATTTTCTCTCCTCTCTTTAAAGCTCAGAACTTGGAAGAAAAGAGGGAGAAGAACTTTTGACCTTTACAACAATTTTGAGCTCTACAAATCACAGAACAAGATCAGGATTTCGGTGTATGTTCAGTGCTCTTTCAATGCTGAATGGGAGGGGTATTTATAGGCCCCAACCCAGTTTGAATTTGGAGCTCAAAACTGTCAATTCCCGGAATTCCGGGATCTGGCGGTTGCACCTCCTGACTGAGGCGGTTGCACCGCCTGGCAGAGCTCGAAGACTGAGACTCTAGGCGGTGCCACCTCTTGTCAGGGGCGGTTGCATCTCCTGCCATAGCTCGAAGACCGAGCTCAGGCGGTGCCACCGCTTGACTGAGGCGGT